AATTATGGTTGCTAATTAAAGCAATACCAAAATAATTGTGTCATAGTACAAAAGTAATGCACATATTTCTCCGTGCCAGAAAAATACAATTATGACCTCCAGTCATAGTTCCAGAAGAGATAATGCTTTACTAATTCTTTTACAGGGCTTAATTCAATGTGCATATGAGAGGGAGCGGTGCAGCTTCTGATGTATGGTGCAGGACAGTATGTCACATAAAGATGCAGAGACAGTCCCTTTTTCTTAGACATCTAGCCAAAGAATTGGCTCCAAGTGACCTCACATTCTTCACTTTCTTTTGATTTTCAAACCTTCTTTGTATTTTAAAATATAATCCGTAATTTTGTTGGCATGGATTTTCTTTGCCTAGTGCCTTCATGTAGATACATCTCTGACCATTCATTCAGGGAAGCACTACTCAGACAAAACTGTTTTCCTGCAACCAACTAAATTGTCTTTTTCTAAGGATAAAAGAAAGGCACATCCTTCACAAAAGCTGATTCATGCAGCATGACTCTTTGAATATAAAGTCTAGCAATACACAGGTGTTGGAAGTGGCACAAAAGATCCTCGAAAACACTTCTAATTGATTAATTCAGCAGGGTGGCACAGTGGAAATGATTGATTTTAGTCTACCAGACCTCCCTCTGACCTTTTCAGAGACTCTGTTGATCGGTACTTGAATAGACAAATTTGAATACAAATGGCAATATGATAATAGCACCCAAATTCTTTGAAGCGAAGTTTTCCCCTCATTTTCACGTATCAGATTAACTGCAACAGGTTAAAGATGCCCCAAAGACCAAAACATTTTTTAAAGAATATATCTTTCAAATAGTGACAACATTAATGTCAGTAGTAAGGACTGATCTCAAATGATTGATCTGATTGACAAATAATAGGTGACTGTTCTCCTTAGGCAATGATGAGACGTAACAAACACGGTGATAAGAACTACGAGAAAGGGTAGATAAAACCACAGTAGTACATTTTTTTGAGGTCACCAAGTTAGTTTCCTGGTGTAGCTGGATTTGATACAGTCTTTGCAAACCAAACCAAGGGCACGTACATTAGCAATGCTTACTTAAACTTAAGCTGCCCTTACTTTGCCAGTCAATGTGAAAGATGTTAGTGACATGGGCCGACATTTCTGCTGCTCAGCTGGAGTTTGGGGGGCAGGTGATAGCTGCACTGAAGACATACAATTGCGAAATAATGAAACGAGAAACGAGAAGGACTATTTGTAGAGGCTTGATCCTGCAAGCTTGGCTCAGGCAAGCTCCCGCTGCAGCTCTGACCCACCTTCAGAAGCCACACAGACCTGCTGCAAAGAGAAGTGGTTTTAGATTTTAGAAATAACCATGTCATTGTGCTCCCAGATTATTCATGTGAAATACTGACTTGCTGACAGCAGAGGAGGCAGGCAGTGGCTGTGAAGGAGCCCCTTGCTCCATGGGAGGAGGATCACTGCTGTCTCCTGCCCTGACGGAAACCTCTTCTTGATGAACTTATGGCTTTTTGGAAGCTCCTTGGCTTCTCTGGGCTCCCGTCCTGAGCCAGGGCTGTGAGGGTGACATGGATTTCACGCATGGATGTCTCCAAGGGCACTCGAGCGGTTGGGGACTCAGCAGGGTAAGCAGGACACAACTCGGCCCCTGGGTTTGAGATGGAAGGCAGCCTTTCTCCTTCCCGACATCCCCGATACAACATTAAATATATGGTTTACTTGTGCTTGCTGGGACCTGCCTAGATTACCGGGTGCTGCAAGAAGGGGAAGAAATGCAAACTTGCGCTCATCAAAGGTATTTAGGGACCTTCTGCTGGTATTTTCGAAGGGACTTTGGTACTTTAACATCTTTTGAGGGTCTAAACCTGCTAATGTGGTTTCCATTCACAGCTTTCCAGTGGTGGCTGGCATTGATATGCTCAGCTCTACTGTCAGACCAGAACTGTGCCATCAGGCCCTGCAACTGCAGAAAATTTCACTAAACAATTTACAAGTGTTTCTTCAGATATCACACTCAGGACTTATTCAGGCTGGCTGGGATTCAGTTTGATATGCATTTGTTTGTCTCAAAATTTACCAACTTGTTCTCTGCAATCTCAGCTCTTATTTATATATGTGTTCAAAATCTCTTGCCCTTGTGACTGTAACATAAACTGTGAAAATTATTCAGAGTGTAATCAAGCAACATCTGCCCAAGCTATGAGCTGCTTGAGGAGGTTGTGACTGTAACATAAACTGTGAAAATTATTCACAGAGTGTAACCAAGCAACATCTGCCCAAGCTATGAGCTGCTCGAGGAGGTGTCAGTAGAGGTGTTCCCGGTGAGCACCAAGCGGTCCTCTCTCCCCTGCCCCACAGCCTGCAGAAATGCATGGTGAAGAAGGGGAGAGGAACACCTTGTATGCACCTAAAAACTTTTCCTAGCAAATGACCTAAGCAGATGGCATTTCACTTTGAAGCGAGGAGTGGCACCTCCTGGAGAAGTCCATCCTTCCCTTCCACCAGCTGGCCCACCAGCCAGGAGGGAAGGGAAGCATGGCAGGCTCACGTAGGACCACTTCAGATGGGGAACCAAGCATCTCCTCTGGGGAGTCCTCCCTGCACATCTGCCGCCTTTCCCTGTGGCTGCGGGTCACTGTGCGGCGTGGTGGTGGTGGGGGTCCACATAGCTGGCAAAACACCATGATGCTTTCCTCTTTATCTCCTACCCCCTGACAGCTTACAGCTTTTTGGCTGCATGTCAGAGGGAGCCCAGGCTTGCTGGGGTGGACTGATTGGCTCTGCACCCCACTTGCGTATTGCACAGAAACAGCATTTTTGTGTGATCCCCCTTAGGACCCTCCTGCTAGGGCCATGGCAGCACACCTCTCATGCTTCAGCATCTCTGTCTTCTTGGGGTTTTGCAATAATTTCTGGGTGTTTTGGGGTTTTTTTTCCCCCCATTATGGGTACATAGAAAGCACTGCAAAAGTATGCACCCAAGTCAAGCTCCCAAGTCAGTCCCTGTTAGCAGACACGTTCATGAAATTGTACACAGGGCAATTGGAAATGGCTTAACCAAGCTTATTACCACAATGTTAATGAGTGTTAATGAGTAATAATGAGTTCACTCAAGAGCTGTGGGTTTGCCTTATGTGCTTAAAAAGGAGGGGGTTTCTAATATAATGCCAATTTCATTACAGGTATAGCATCAGCTGATGCTTTTCTCAGCATCAAGAAGATGGTGCGGTTTCTCAATTCCTGCTGAAAAGATTACTGAAATAGTTTGGTGTTTGTAAAGAGCATCTGGGTGTACGAAAAAGACCCCATATACACGTGTAGGTAAAATATTAATTACTAAAGTTTTAAACCATACTGGATTTATCCAACACTCTTGCACTAGGAAAACAAAGGAACTACAAGCAATTACAGGCAAACCGAATTACTCTGTCTATGTTCTTCGAATTTTTTTTTCCACTTCAAGCTGATTTGACATTTTTGGGTTAGACTTTAGGAACTCAGAGCAGGAGCTTGGCTTTGTACTGCCGCTCCAAACAAGAAACGATTCAATTATGCATCAGCCCACCCCTTCCCAAAACTAAACCCTCTCAGATCCTGAACTCCTTTCAGCACAGGTTTTAAATAGAAAGGCTAAGTAGGGTAAAGCTGGTTGTGGGAGCTACTTTATCTTCCATATTTTCCATCACTCCTCTGACCTGGCCAGGCTCTCAAGTCCCTGGCTGTGTTTTCTCCTTCTGGGAGATGCCAATCTCCTCATGCTCTGTGGATGAAATGGAGGGAATGTGGTGGGAAACGGAGACACTTCTGCATTGCAGAGCTCTCCTCCATAACTGTGGGTCTAGCCACTACTGTGCCAAGATTTGGTGAATGCAACAGGTGTCGTTTTAATATAAGGGTTCAAGTTTTATCTCAGATTTTATATTAAATAAAAGGGCCTGTTTCCCTGAAGTGTGGTTGTGTGGCAGCATTACAGCGTTGTTCATCTTATGCAAAAGTATGTAACGGATACTCCTGCTAAGCAGTTTTGCAAACTTGGTGACAAACTTATTGCTATTATTTTACTGCACACTGTTTCCTTAATGCTTGGAATATGTTAATCTTTTTTCAGTTTTCTCTTAGTGGTCTAAAATCTGGATGTTAAAACCAAAATTGGAAACCTGAGTTTAATTTCTTTGCTGTTTTTGAATATGCTATTTTGCATCCAGAGAATTTACCCCAGCAATTTGAATTCTGCATCAGAGCAAGTGGTATAACATTTCTGAAAGTGGGGAGTTTTGCTTGTCACAAACATGAAAGCACCTTTTGGTGGGTATGTTGGAGAATAACTGATATGAAAATTAGAAGCGAAGAGCTCACTTCAAAACATTTGACAACTCTAAGTAAAATAAAAAGTACTTTAATAGCGCAATGATAATATTTCACTGGAGGTCTGTATTTCTCCCAGAACTCATGTGATGCGCAGTGATATTCCCTGTAGCTGTCCATCGCTTAGAAAGTAGCTGCTTTCCATTATTTAATGCAGATGCTTTACAAATACTTCTGTAACTTGGTTTCTTCCTCAAGAGAAACACCCAGCTCTTGCAGAGCTACTAGAGCTCAGCTGTGCGTGGCTGCAGCCCATGCCTTTGAAGGTGACTTGCAAAGAGGACTTCAGGGTCTGCTGGCTTTGATGCAAAGCTGCCACCAGCACTCGGAAGCTTTGACAAATGCAACTGCTGCCTATGGCACAGGATTGTAACCCACAAGGGGATTGGAAACCATTTCGTCATAAATACAGTGCCATAGTATCTACCCCAGTGACATATTTGTCCTGCTTGGGTTTAAGTCTTCACCTGACAAACCCTAAGTTTGGTTCTTTCTCACCTTTTAAAATACAAGTTGCATGCTTTTATCTGGACTTCTCAAACCTGATGTTCAGGGTAGTGACTGCTCCATGCCTGCTGACTGTACTAATGCGTTTAAGACTCTTACGTGTCTTTTGCATTTCTTTAGCCCTGGTGCCCTCCACTCTGCGCAGGCATAATATTTTGTTCCTTTTCATCACTTTCTCTTTGCTTCCCAGCTTAGTTTTCCAACATGTCACTCCTTACTCAGATCGAAAGGATTAACAGAGCTAAAAAGCTTAAGTAAAGCAGTCATTATATTTGGCACAGGTTCATTAGTGCCTATGCTGTGGACACTGTAACCATGACCAGCTTTGGACCAGCTCATTATTTTTTTCAGCTGACTGCTAACTCCTTACCTGTTTTGAAAAAAAGTTAGGGTGTAAACCCTCTTTAGAAGACCACTAGGAGTGGGATTTATTTTGACTAATTTTATCCTTCTAAAAGGTTTGGGACTAGCTTAAGCCCATACTGTTCTCAGGGAGGAGAGGGGAGGAACTGAGGATCGTCAGCAGGATAATTCAGCAAGAGGCAGTGATATAGCCGTACATTGCCCCATTCCCTTTGTCTTCAGAGCAGGAGTCGAGGGTGTTACACTCAGACCTTGGCCTGGAGGAAGATGCTGTGGGGCAGTTCCCATCCCCCCCGTGTAGTGCAAGGCTCATGCACCTCCTCAAAGTACAGTCTAAGTGGGATCTAAGTGAGATTGGCCCTAGGCCCACTTGGAGATTTAATTCCTTTGGATTTTATGTAAGCAGTTACCAAATCTATTTAGCGTGAGGCATTAGGTAATGTAGCCTGCTCTGAAGATATAGGGCTTGTGGGTTTTCCAAATGTTCAGCAGAATGGTGAAGTCCTCACTTTATGAACACAACATTTTTAATGCAAAAAAAAGAAAGAAAAGGGAAACATTTGGCTGTTGGACAGAGTTATTTCCTTACACTTGCTCCTAGTGTTTGGCAAGTTTTGTTCATTCCCGGATGAAACTCGTCGTAAGTCCCACGAGTGCTGGGAGAAGTTTAGTGGCTGAACACCTCCCTTTCTTTCAGCAGTTGCCTCCTAAGGTCAAGGTGTCTTTGGCAAGGCTTCATAGGACATCCGTAAGCTTGTGTTGTACGAGAGTGAGGAGCAGCAGTGCTGTCCCAACAAGGGCTATCGCATTGCCATGATACTTTTTAACTGATGCTGAGCATGAGGCTGCTATCACTCTGAGTGAGGGTTATCAGATTTGCTGATAATTCAGCTGAGAATCACTAAAGTTTGGTTGTATCCAAAAGGATGAAATGGAGGAGGGTTTATATGCTAAGTCTATAATTATACAGCAGTATAGCCCTCTGAAGGAAGGGGAAAACCACAACAAAAACCCCCCCTATTGCTGCTGGTTTAAGTTACAAAAGATTTTGTCTGTCTTGCTCAGACAACTGCAGTTATAGGAATTCTTAATATTGGCACCTGTGAATTATTGCATGTTATACAAATGTATCTGGCACATTTTCATCCCCAACTGCCCTGCCAGGGGTCTGCTGCAGCCTCACCATTAAGCTGTCAGGTTCCCTGGTTGTAATGAGTAATGACAAAGCAGTTCGAGCTTCTCTGAAATGCAGCTAAAAATGAACGGGTGGGGGGGGTGATATTATGAAAAACAAAACAAACCATGCAGATGTTTTTGAGGTTGTTTTCAAAGACTTATTGATGTGAAATTCTCAGTATTTTAATCGCTATTCAAAACGTACCTAGAAACCCATTATGATTTTCCAGTCACTGAAGGATCGAGCCTAAGCATCGCACGGGTACAGCGTTAACAAAGGCTCGGTGGGAAGAGGCTTTGTACAGCAATGGGTGAACATTAGTCATACTTGCATATTCTTCTTTCCACACGTCAAAGGTCTGAGAAGACAAAGAGCTGTGCCTTGGACGGTTTTGAAATCCATCAATCTCCATCGGTCCTGAATGGACCCCTCCGAGTGGAAAGGCTTTTTGCCCACGCAAGTATCACAGTGCTGCACGGGGCGTCATGCCTCTGGGTACGTTACAGTATGTTTTCCAAAGAACATTTCCCTGAGGTAAGAGGCAAAATATAGCTCTTGTATCTGATATTGCATAAAGTCTACTCCTCTGCAGGAGAGCAATCTCCTCCTCCCTTCCCAAAACAAAAATACCATTTAAAACTACATTATTACCAGGAATGAGCAGGACAAACAGCACACACTTTTTTTACTGCCATTTAAGGGTAGTTTAAAGCCAGGCTCATCTATTAGCTTATAGAAGATTATTTCTATTTACAAATATGAACAATTTTTCTGTACTGCTTTCCCTAACACCAGTGTCTTGTATTTTTTTTTCCCCGATGAACCAATTACACGTACCATGAAATGAGGTAGCTTTTGATATGGTGTGAGGCTATGCAGTTCATGTACAAATTGTGCTTTTGCCATTTTTCTTTTTCAGATGACATTTTTGCTCCCAGTTTCTTGTTTTCTCTGATTTTTGATGGCAATTAATCTTTTTTTCCACTTGGAAACAAATCAAAATACACAGCAGATATTTTCCAGCCTAAATTGCACAGCCAGTTTGGAGCAGAAATAATAAAAGGCTATTCTCAACATTACTCTAGTAGGCCTTGTTGGTGAGGAGAAAAAGTGCTTAACAATGAATGTTTAATGAGATTTCATCAAAGCTCACCATCGATTCCTTGCCCTAAAGGTTACAGGTTGTGAAAGCTACATTAGCACCAGGAGGATATAGCTTTTTAGGCCCACCCTTACTGGGCAAATGCTACAGCTGGACCCCTGATATCTGGCAACGCCCCAGGATGGGTTTGTGGTGGTGACAGGCAGTGCTGCCAAGGGATGGACCCAGACCTGGACCCCGACCCAGTCCCAGACCCAGACCCAGCATGGTGCCGTGACTGGACAGTGCTTGTGGAACGAGCATGTGGATGGGCACCCTGTGTCTTGCATCTCAGCCCCAGCTGGGATTATGGCTCTAAACAAGTCACTTTAACATTTCTGCTGCAGCTTCCCCACCTTTTCCCTTTCACCAAATGCTTACAGGGGTACGTGAAGTGGTACAGATGGGTCCAACCCAGCAGAATAGCTTCAGAGACATCCCAAGATCAGGGGCCTCACAACCTCTGAGCACCAGGCTGGCATGGCAAGCCAGCAAAAGCCATCCAAAATGCTCCTCAGCCACACAGTCAGCAGAATTTCCCTATTTGCTGTCCTGCATCAGGGACATACAATCCTTCTTCTCCATGTGAAGTCTTACCTTTTTTGTACAAACCCCATCTGTTAAATCTCAGGAAAGCCCAGACAAACCTCCTCCCCACTGATCCCCAGGGCTTTGACACATGTTGGTGGCCAGAAGCCAAGTACATTTTGGAGATCAGCAGCAAACAGCTGCTTTTCAGGCTCTTCCTAATGCAGTTTTTAAGACTTGCTCCCTGCAGTTATTACTAGCATCATTCAAACTCAGCTTCCAACTCTGAAGTGAGCAGGACCTTTCAGCCTGCTATGCTAAGGAAACATCATACATGTGACAACGCTCTGATCAGTCTTTCCATTAGCATTTTTGAACCCACCGGCCAGCTTCAATCAAACGTAGCGGCGAGGCAGCAGCAGTCTTGGAGACCCCAAGTTCCTACAAGGTTCATGACCCATATGTGTCCGGGCCAAGGGAAACAAAAGAAAAAGCAGGTCAACCTGTATGAGACCCCAGAGAGCTCAGGGAGACGGAGATGCCGTGGATACCCCGCTCCAGGAAAGCTTTGCAACGGTTTTCATCTGTGTGGACATGGGAGCATCAAGCAGGAAAGCAGATTTCATTAGTTCCAGTATCAGGTTTTACAGCGGTATCATGAACTTACGCTCTCTGTCCAGTGTCTCCCACAGTACTGGAACCAGCCCTCACTGCAAGGTGCAAACGCAGAGTCAATTTTGCGAATGTCAAAAGCCTCTCGGAGGGCTTCTCTGGCGTGGGCTGCTCCTTGGCCGGAGGGACAGCCACATCCAGCGAGGAAGCGTGGAGAGCGCTGCCCTCCATTTGAAACTGTGCCTTTGTTCAAAGCAGCTGTTTTTGCCATGAGCACATGTCTGTGGGAAGCTTCCTTCGGGGACTCAGCTGTAAAACGGGGCCACAAAGGGCGGGCACAGAAGGATGGCAAAGTCCGCTGGCTGTTCCCTTGACTGACTGCTTTAACAAGAAGGTACGGTGACAGCCTGTGCTCACGGGGACTTTGGAAACCAGCCAGCAGTAGTTTCCTTACTAGGTTTTGGTTTTTTTCTCTTTAATTCTCACATTTCTGAACAGAAGAGTTGCACGCCTCCTGCAACAGCAGCAGATTTGCTGCAGCGCCCCAGCAGAAGGCAGCTGGGGAGGACAAGCTGAGGCTGGACAGGAGGAACTGGCAAGGAGCAGACCCTCATGGCTGGCCTCAGCCCAGGCCCCGCCAGGTCACAGAAAGCCGTGCTCCTTCACCAACGCAGGCTAAAGCAATCTAATCAAAGATGCCAGAAGTTATTTCTAGTAACAAAGCCAACAAACACTCTTCTAACTGATTAGTGTTTTTCAGACTCATTAGGAAAAAAAATTAAACAACTTTATCCCTCTTTTTCTTTTTGTTCAGTGCTGCAGTGTTTCCCTAAGCCAGAGGCAAGATAAAAAGGCAGACTGGGAGACGTGCAAAGGTAGCACTGTTGTCAAGCAAAGAAACCTCCTTCAATTATTCAGAGTATCTGCCATTCTCGAATTTCCCATTCTTACAGCTTGAGCTAAGTGCTGCTGCATGCATTTGGCTGTAGTTCTTATTAACTCAGAGGACAGTCCAGGTAAGGAACATAGGTATTCAAAGGATAATTAATGTCTAAAGTGAATGTTGTGGTAAGAAGTTTCCATACACATTCCCAAACTATCTCCAAACGCATCTTTGCAAAGAGTAGGGAGCTTCAAATGGAAAAGGTAAATGTAATCCTAAGTAGACACAAAACAGTGCTGCTTCTTTTTTTCTACTTCATTAACAAGTAGAAAGTTGATCATAAAGCCGTGGCACACCAAAATACTCACAAAGCTGCAAGCATCAAAAACCAGTGGGCAACTGAGCACAGTCAACCGATAACCAGGAAAATCAGACTTTCTGGCATCTACCAGTAATATTCTGAATCTGAAAGGCAAACTGGAGTTGAATCCATGACAAAACAATATTTAAGAAGGTAAATGTGAGAGCTGGCTGCCTATGCTGCAATGCTATGTGTTAGAAGAATTCAAAGAGAGCTTGGTATCTCCATGGATAAACTAGGATAGTGAAATGATGTGAGCTCTGGGCAGAGGTGTTGAGAGACAGCATGCTTATTTTACCATATTTACCCTTTTGCAGTGTAGTCTGAATGGCATTCTCATTCCAAGATGTATTCATCACCCCCTTGATAGAGGAGAGGATGCTTCAGTTTGCCAGCCAACCCAGCCCGCCCTCCTGAGCCACTGCCTTGCATCTCCTCAGGAGTGATTAGACATTATGGTTCCCTAAACCAAACAAATCCCCCCTGTTTCCCCAGTCTGTCACGGATGTGTTACCCTTGCTGAGTCTCTGCAGGACCACCGGCAGCACTTCTCTCCAAGGTGCCAGCTGAAAGGGAGCCTGAATAAATCAGCCAGAAGTGGCTGGACCTCCGTGCAGTGGTACCCACTGAGGTAGATAAGATCTATCACGGAAAGCGTGCAAACTATCTCCAGTAAAACCATGGTGAAATGGTGAATAACATACCCCAGCTACATCCAGCAAGGCTGTATATCTATTCGCTCAGTGATGCGCATGGATCCTACCAGCCAAAGAAGTGGGAAGGCTCAGGACATTGTCTACACTGTGACCTTTCACAAGCCACTCATCTGATTTTGTTTCTCACAATCAAGCTTTTTTGATTCATGCAGCTAGTCAAAAAAGGAGGAGTGGGTATTATTCTGCATTTTTCCATATTCCCCTTCCAACACACAAACCATCCCCTCTTAAAACCCTATTAGAAATGTGAAAAAGTGCCTAGCCATGTTAGGAAGGGACTCTTCCAAAACAGCCTCTCCCAAAGGTGGTACGCCAGCTGAGGGGCTTTGCTCAGCAGAGGCTCACCCATCTCAGGGCTGCAGGGGACAGACAGATAGCTGTGGTGGTTGTCCCTGCCCTCTCGCTGTGCCCTGAGCAGCCAAGCAAAGAGCCCTGGACGTGGGGTGGGTGCTGGGGGGTCACAGGGCTCTGCTCTGTGCTGGCTCTATCCATGTGGTGGGATGAGTGCGAGCCAGTGAGGGCGCGGGGGGATTGGACGCAACACTTACTGAAGAACCGCCGCCGCCTGGCACCGCATCTCCAGAGCCGCGTCCGCACCCAGTGCAGGCATGGGGACAGGTCCATGGCTCGAGGGGCTGCCCGTCCCTGGGGCCACCTGGGACGTCCTGCTCCCCACTGGGCAAACCCACGGCAGCCGGAGGATGCGTCGATAGGCTGCCAAGGTCCTGCCGTCCCTCCGTCGCCATGCCATGTTTTATGCATGAAAGTGACAGTGCGTAATTTCATCCTGATTCTCTGCACCCAGTGTGTATGTGAGCTCCTGCGACGTGGAGGAGCCATGGCATTGGTCCCTGGGGAGTGTGAGCTCCAGGGGAGGCAAGGGGCGTGCAGCGCTCCTGGGGTGGGGAAAGGCGCCCATCAGAGAAACTGGGCCTTTTTCAGCCTCTGCAGTATTGGCTGAAGTTCATCCATCTGCAGATCTACAGGTGCTGCCCATCCAGAGCAGGAAGAGATTCAAGGATATTAGGATGCCCTACAGAAACCCATGTGCATTCCAGTCACAAACCCATGGCCTGTGTTTGAAACCCCAACCCCGCGCTGCAATGTGAGGAAACAAGGATGCTGAGAGTGTTTGAGCGCAATAGAGCTTTAGCATGTCCATGTCAGTGACTGCACTGGTAAGGGTGGTCAGCATTTCTTACTTATATCCTAATTTCTTGGAGAAAGGGCGACCTTCCCTCGGTCAAGGTGGATCAGGTTAGGGATCTTTTAAGGAAGCTGGACACCCACAAATCCATGGGCCCCGATGGAATGCACCCACGAGTGCTGAAGGAACTGGCAGATGACATTGCTGAGCCACTTTCCATCATCTATGAAAGGTCATGGAGGACAGGAGAGGTGCCTGAGGACTGGAAGATAGCCAATGTCACTCCGGTCTTCAAAAAGGGCAAGAAGGAGGACCCAGGGAACTACAGGCCGGTTAGCCTCACCTCTGTCCCTGGAAAGGTGATGGAACAACTCATTCTGGGTGTCCTCTCCAAGCAAGTAGATGAAAAGAAGACCATTAGGAGTACCCAGCATGGATTCACCAAGGGGAAATCATGCCTGACCAATCTGATAGCCTTCAATGATGGCATGACCGGCTGGGTAGACAAGGGGAGAGCGGTGGATGTTGTTTACCTTGACTTCAGCAAGGCTTTTGATACTGTCTCCCATAACATCCTCATAGGGAAGATCAAGAAGTGTGGGTTGGATGAGTGGACAGTGAGGTGGATTGAGAACTGGCTGAATGGCAGGGCTCAGAGGGTTCCGAACGGCGGGGCGGAGTCCAGTTGGATGCCGGTAGTTAGTGGAGTTCCCCAGGGCTCGGTACTCGGCCCAGTCTTGTTCAACTTGTTCATCAGTGACCTGGACGAGGGGACGGAGTGTACCCTCAGCAAGTTCGCTGATGACACAAAACTGGGAGGAGTG